CCTTCATCAGCACATAAAAATCAAACAATACAACACAAATACACAAAATTTCTGAGCTGGTAACTCGAAGCTGCCGGGTCGATGTTTTCTCAGCAGACTACCATGAAATAGGTTAAACTATTGCTACCAAAAATGTCTACAGGAAACACTGAATTCAGCAGAGAGGCATGCAAATCATATGTTAAATAACATAATATACTGGAAAGGCAAATTACATTTTGAGATCTATGTATGGTGTCACATAACATAACTCAATACTGCCAAAATGATGGCACATACAAAAAAAAATAAATTAACATTGAAAACATTATTGCACATAATAAAATATGCGACAACTGTACAAATTATTGCACATAAAACCGTAAAGAATACCCTTGACTCACAAAAACTGACAGCTGCAGGCAAATTAAGTGGCACCCTGCCCCATACTGTGTACTTATTTATGGTGGTATTGAGTGTACCTGTAACTATACATCTACTGCATATCACAGTTGTACATCTATTAGTGACTTTGTAGATGTAACAATATTAGCACATTTGTGTACCTACTAATGACTATTCAGATGTGACAATTAGATAAGCACAGCTGTGCACCCATTAATGACTAAACAGAAATGACAGCAATATCACAGTTGTGTGCATATGAATTATTCAGTGACAATGAATAGTAAATACTCTAAACATGCTGTTTTGTTTATTCCCGAGCATAAAGTTGCAAAAATGTATCTTTCATTACATCTATTTATTAAATCAATCATTAAATTTAGGAAAAATTAAATCCATATTCTGGTAAGCAATAGCTCAGTGGATAGCATGCTTACTTATTAACCTGGTGGTCATGCATTCAAATCCCCATCAAGACAGGTGATATTTTTCATTAACCTGGTGTCCAAGGTCAATCAGTTCAACTGGGTCCCAGGAAATGCACTGTGAAGCAAAGGTGGTCAGACTAACACCGACAACATTACCAAGTGTTGATCATATAAAAATGCTGGCTAGCAAAATGCATCCAATACATCTACATCATTAGGTACTCTTAACATCTGTAGTTATCTATCTCTAAACTGTGAACAGTCTGACACAATCTACTGTCCAGTTTTTAACGCTCACACACATATTTACATTTTACATACTCAAAATGATGTGTATAAGAATAGCAACTAAAATATTTGGTTTGCTCGTAATACAATCAGTGGAAATAGAACACGACTCACATCCGTATGTTGCTACAGGCAAGATGGATGCTCTCAAAATTTCAATTTTGATTTCCTTGCTGGTGCTTAACCATAGACTTTATTTGCTGTTTATAACCTTTGCATTGCTATGGCCATCCTCCTTTTAATTTCTGTCAGAGAGTCTCCACTGCTATTTATTATACAGCCTAGATATTCAAAGTTTGTGACATTTTCTATTTCTTTATCATTTATTGCTATTTTTAGGTTACAGCCTATTTTGTTGGTTGACATTATTTTTGTTTCCTTTAAATTATTAAATCCTATCTGAAGTAAATATTTTTGAGTTATACCAACAACTTCATGGGATAGACTGTGCTTTGAAAAACCTGCCCAGGACAGAAAGAGTTTAAAAAAAAAAGTAAAGAAAATTGAGTCAGATATTAAGCAGATATAAAATACAAAGAAGTGAAATGAAAGAAGTAAGAAACTTAAAAAAAATATCAAGATCTTTTCATGTATAAAACACATTTGATATTTTACATATCCATGAATGTGTGGAGACACATACAAAAGGGGAACAGAACAGATAATCCAAAAAAAAAATCAATGTCAGGATAACAAACATTAGGAACATGACAAAAAAGTAACACTCTAATGGTTAGATTACTAAGATATGATCATTATGACAATTTACGTAGGTTACAATAGTAATGACTCATAGCAAAAAATACGGAATGCCTACAGAACCACCTAAATCAAATTAGTAACAAAGGGGATAAAATATAATATGAAAATAAACACTACGAAGACAGAGACAATGATGATAGGAAGACATAAAGACAATTTAGAAATTAAATTAAAAAATAATACCCTAAGACAAACTGAGGAAATTTAAGTATTTGGGAGCAATTTTTACATCTGACGGAAAACTGGACAGAGAAATTAGCTCCAGATGTGCCAAAGCTAATCAAGTAATGGGTCAACTATCTCCCCTGTTGATACACAAGCAGATACCTCGGAGTACTAAAGTGAATCTTATCAGAACTATTTTTTTGGCCAACACTATGCTATCAATGCCAAACGTGGACACTTACATCCTTCAATGAACGTAAAATTGTGACAACAGAGATGAAATACCTTAGAAGAGCTGCAGGAGTTCAAGGAAAGACAGAATACAAAATCATGAAATCAGACGAATGCTAGGAATAAAGCCAGTCTTACAGGTCATCAAAGAACAACAAATAAAGTGGTTTGGACACCTAACAAGAATGCCCTGGTACTATCCGCCACACTAAAACGTTACAACCGGTATAGAGCGAGTGGAAGACCTCGGAAAATATGGAGTGATGGCATTAAGAACAGCCTTACAGAAATGAACATCAGTCTTAATAGTGCTCTTGACAGAGCCCACCAACGAACATTACATCTACCCCCGACACTTCGATGAGGTACAAGGTGGAAGAGAAGAAGAAGAAGACAATAGTAATGGAAAGAATAGCAAACTGACTTCAGATATAAGGATACAGCCCACCAATGGTTAACTCTTGAAACTGTGCCATTGACAGTTGAACAACTGGTCAAATACAGTTTGTATAGTAGTCTGAGAAACTTAAGCAGCTGAATGGCAGATACTGACTGACATGTTTCAAATAAAAGTTTTGTTTCACACAATCAAGGAAGACAATAAATAAGGCAAATGAACTCAGTACAACTAATGACTCGAATATAGAAGGTACAAGACAAGACACATGTACCTGAACTCACAAGTGATGTAAGTGGTTGTATGACAGGGAGAACCTTGAGTTAGTAGCTACATGTGACAGGCTAACATACAGAAGGTCTATAACAAGAAGTCTAACATGCAGAAGGTCTGTAACAAGAAGTCTAACATACAGAAAGTCTGTAACAAGAAGTCTAACATACAGAAGGTCTGTAACAAGAAGTCTAACATACAGAAGGTCTATAACAAGAAGTCCAACATACAGAAGGTCTGTAACAAGAAGTCTAACATACAGAAGGTCTGTAACAAGAAGTCTAACATACAGAAGGTCTATAACAAGAAGTCTAACATACAGAAGGTCTGTAACAAGAAGTCTAACATACAGAAGGACTGTAACAAGAAGTCTAACATACAGAAGGTCTGTAACAAAAAGTCTAACATGCAGAAGGTCTGTAACAAGAAGTCTAACATGCAGAAGGTCTGTAACAAGAAGTCTAACATACAGAAGGTCTATAACAAGAAATCTAACATACAGAAGGTCTGTAACAAGAAGTCTAACATACAGAAGGTCTATATCAAGAAGCATAACATACAGAAGGTCTATAACACGACACATATACTAAAGGTACATAAAAAGACAAATAATGAAGGTACACAACAACACGACAGACATACTGAAGGTACATAATAACAAGACAGACATACTGAAGGTACATAACAACAAGACCCACATACTGAAGGTACATAACAATAAAACCCACATACTGAAGGAACATAAAAACAAGACCCACATACTGAAGGTATGTAACAACAAGACCCACATACTGAAGGTACATAACAATAAAACCCACATACTGAAGGTACATAAAAACAAGACCCACATACTGAAGGTACGTAACAACAAGACCCACATACTGAAGGTACATAACAAGACCCACATACTGAAGGTACGTAACAACAAGACCCACATACTGAAGGTACATAACAACAAGACCCACATACTGAAGGTACATAACAATAAGACCCACATACTGAAGGTACATAACAATAAGACCCACATACTGAAGGTACATAACAATAAGACCCACATACTGAAGGTACATAACAACAAGACCCACATACTGAAGGTACATAACAACAAGACCCACATACTGAAGGTACATAACAACAAGACCCACATACTAAAGGTACATAACAACAAGACCTACATACTAAAGGTACATAACAACAAGACCCACATACTGAAGGTACATAACAACAAGACCCACATTCTGAAGGTACATAACAATAAGACCCACATACTGAAGGTACATAACAAGAAGACCCACATACTGAATGTACATAACAAGAAGACCCACATACTGAAGGTACATAACAACAAGACAGACATACTGAAGGTACATAATAAGACACACATACTGAAGGTACATAACAACAAGACCCACAAACTGAAGGTACATAACAATAAGACCCACATACTAAAGGTACATAACAATAAGACCCACATACTGAAGGTACATAACAACAAGACCCACATACTGAAGGTATGTAACAAGAAGACACACACATTGAAGGTACATAATAATAAGACCCACATATTCAAGGTTTATAACAACAAAACACACATACTGAAGGTACATAACAAGACACACATATTAAAGGTATACAACATTAAGACACACATACAGAAGGTATATAATGATAAATTCACATACAGAAGTTATATGACAATAATACTCACATATGTTCATCTATCTATATTCTCTTCATGTCACTACTGGCGTATAAGACATTAGGACTCACATAAAGAAGGTATATAACAGCCTTTTACATATAAAAGGTATATTACAACAAGACAGACACACATTTAGAAGATATATAACAAGACTTACATAAAGGTAAATAACAAGACAGACATTTAGAAGGAATATAACAGAAGACACACACTAAAACACAAAGATCATGTAAACAGTTATAAGACGGTGACATCCTTGTGTCAGCATCTACAACTCACAAAACTGCTGTAACCAGACATCTATGATATGCCACAGTCACACCCCGACGCTTCACAGGATACAAAAACACAGAAGAAAGGGTTGCAGGGTTCATTGTTCGTTGTCATACTTGCTTCTTCGGTGCCTTATTTTTGTTTCAGTGTTTTCAGCAGATTTTTTCTCATCTCCAACATACTCAGCCTTTGATGTACTGTCCAGCTTCTCTTCTTTGTTTTGATTTTCACCTACCTCAGATTCTCAGGTTCCTTCTGCCATCTCAGAATGTTTCATGCCAGGGTTAGAGCCCTCAGATTTATCCTGTTTAAAAAAAAAGCCATCAATTAGATGTCAGGACCAACATATTTTATACTGCTTTAAACTGCAATCTGAAGAGTGTCTACTGTCTTGTTTCAATTCTGTGGTTCTAATTTGGAAAAGTTTATGTTAAAGTTTCAAAATAAGCATTTGACTTTGGTCTAATCTGACATATTTAACATATACCTGTACCGTTGGCCACTGTGTTTTCATGGCATGTTCAACCAACAGACAAAGTGTAAACAGTTCTGTGAATAAACAAGACAGTTTTGGTGGCTCTTTTACAGAGGTATGAGAATCACATCGTGGAAGAGACTTGGGCTCACCACCTAATATTCCTAAAGACAGCGGTGAAAACAAACCAGCAAATCCTGACTGTGGAGATGGTCAAGACAATTTGCTGTTGAAGAATCAAGAGCAAATGTGCTCAGCTTAAAAACTGTTTGCTTTATAAACACAAGCATGGACCCAGGGTTTCACTACTGAACATAGAGCCAGTCCATTTCAAGTCTCAAGTGTGATGTACCGGTGCTTAGATAACCCATTTCAAGTCTCAAGTGTGATGTACCGATGCTTAGATAACCCATTTCAAGTCTCAAGTGTGATGTACCAGTGCTTAGATAACCCATTTCAAGTCTCAAGTGTGTGTTGCTTTTACAAATTCGATGCTTATGACCAGTAGAGGAACTTCATTTAAGGTCAGCCGTAGAAGGGGTATGGCCTCTCTTTGGTTTATTTTACTATTGTCCATTTTTTGTTGTTGAGTCGATTGTGTCCAAATGGTATTTTCTCCATTTCTGGTACCATCTTTCTGCTGTTGTTTTGAAATCCCTTTTATTTGCGTCGTAAAAAGTCTGAAGATTTGAATATTCTTGTATTTCTCCTTCCTCACAAAGGTTGTCCGCATATTCCTGTGCCAGACCATCGATATAGTTTTTGTTGTGTCTATAGTAGAATTCTTCTTTTGCTGGCATGTATTGCCTAAGTTCTACTTGGTTCCGGATTGTCTGTTGGGATCTCCGGCGTTTTAGTTGGGTATGACTGTTGTCGCTGCCTCTTTTCCGGACACTTGTTCGACCAGTGGTCATCTTGTTTGCAGTACATACATGCAATCCTTCGGTCGGGCATCATGATCAAAACTTTGTGGTTATGCTTGGTTATGCCTGGGGTGTAAACATATATACATAGTGGGGTATTTCTCGTGTTGGCTTACACATCGCTCCCCACTTCCTTTCGTCGTGATGAATGGAGAAGACTTCAGGTTCACAATCTCCCGTTATCGCCTTAACGATGTCCATCCTTCGGTGTTCAATTGGCTTGGTAGCCAGTTTAGTGTAATCCGTTTCCTCTGCTTTCCGTACTGTTCAATTCTGCAGGTGATGTTGTCTTTTTCCAGGGTCACCGATTTTCCATGCAGGGTCTGGAACAGTTTGTTGTGACCTCTTGGAGACAGGCAGAAAAACCATTCTGTCGGGCTTTCGTGTCGGTACAGATCTATGATATCATCTGGCAGTATGGCAAAAGGGCTAATTAATATGCTCGTTATAAAACCAGGTTTGCCCTTTGCAGCCGCCATGGGTCCATCAATTGTGCAGACTAGCGTGTCCTGCTTGTGTAGGATCGGGTTTTTATATTTTTTTTGGAGGTACGTTGATCGTCTCCGTGTTTGATGACATGTTGTCCAGGTTTTTTTAAAATCTCTTAAATTTCTTATAAAACACAGTAATCCAAATTAATTGAACAATATAGTCCAGCTGTAAATTAGTAATCCAGTGAAGGGTTATGAATATCCACTTTATACATGAAAATCTTAATATAATGTCACATATATATATAATATAATCGTCCATCTTGCTTGAATATGAAAATCTCACTATTATGTTTACAAGCGGTAGACCGAAATCCGCCATCTTGCTTGAATATGAAAATCAAAACAGTTTTACAAATGGTAGACCTAGATCCGCCATTTTGCTTGAATATGGAATTCTCAAACTATTCTCGCAAACGGCAGGTTGAAACCCGCCATTTGGCTTGAATCCTTGAAAATCCAAAATTTGAAAAACACATTTTACATTCTAATGACAGGCGTGCTACTCACTTTTGGTGGCATGATGTATGTTGCGAAATGATATTTTAGGCAGGGTCAAACTGGCAGCACTAGATCGATAATAAAAAAATGAAAAAAAAATGTGACTCACACAGATTTGAACCAAAACCTTCGGACTTGCAGTCAAGCAATTAGCAATTGTGCTAACTCTGTTTTTATACTAATATTAACAAAGCCACAGTTTGCCACCAAACCTATGGACTGGCTGACATGACACGTAGACAGGCAATGTTCCTTCCATAAATTAGTTATTTCATTATCCACAGACTTCAACCCAAGGTCTAGACAAAAGACCTAGCATATTTAAAAAAAACTGTAACAAAAATGAGTTAACAACATCATTCAGCTTGATGTATAAGACAGTGAAAGACGTTGAAGCTTACCTCTTTGACTGACAGAAAGAGAATGTTACACAACAGCTGAAGCTAACCTCTTTGACTGACAGAAAGAGAATGTTACACAACAGCTGCAACTAACTTCGTTGACTGACAGAAAGTGAATGTTACACAACAGCTGTAGCTAACCTCTTTGACTGACAGAAAGTGAATGTTACACAACAGCTGTAGCTAACTTCATTGACTGACAGAAAGTGAATGTTACACAACAGCTGTAGCTAACTTCATTGACTGACAGAAAGAGAATGTTACACAACAGTTGTAGCCAACTTCATTGATTGACAGAAAGTGAATGTTACACAACAGCTGTAGCCAACTTCTTTGATTGACAGAAAGAGAATGTTACACAACAGCTGTAGCTAACTTCTTTGACTGACAGAAAGTGAATGTTACACAACAGCTGTAGCTAACTTCATTGACTGACAGAAAGTGAATGTTACACAACAGCTGTAGCTAACTTCATTGACTGACAGAAAGTGAATGTTACACAACAGCTGTAACCAACTTCTTTGACTGACAGAAAGTGAATGTTACACAACAGCTGTATCTAATTTCATTGACTGACAGAAAGTGAATGTTACACAACAGCTGTAGCTAACTTCATTGATTGACAGAAAGAGAATGTTACACAACAGCTGTAGCTAACTTCATTGACTGACAGAAAGAGAATGTTACACAACAGTTGTAGCCAACTTCATTGATTGACAGAAAGTGAATGTTACACAACAGCTGTAGCCAACTTCTTTGATTGACAGAAAGAGAATGTTACACAACAGCTGTAGCTAACTTCTTTGACTGACAGAAAGTGAATGTTACACAACAGCTGTAGCTAACTTCATTGACTGACAGAAAGTGAATGTTACAAAACAGCTGTAGCTAACTTCATTGACTGACAGAAAGTGAATGTTACACAACAGCTGTAGCCAACTTCTTTGACTGACAGAAAGTGAATGTTACACAACAGCTGTATCTAATTTCATTGACTGACAGAAAGTGAATGTTACACAACAGCTGTAGCTAACTTCATTGATTGACAGAAAGAGAATGTTACACAACAGCTGTAGCTAACTTCATTGACTGACAGAAAGAGAATGTTACACAACAGTTGTAGCCAACTTCATTGATTGACAGAAAGTGAATGTTACACAACAGCTGTAGCCAACTTCTTTGATTGACAGAAAGAGAATGTTACACAACAGCTGTAGCTAACTTCTTTGACTGACAGAAAGAGAATGTTACCTCAGACTCGCTCAAATCTTCTTCGGTGTTCACATTTGAGTGGACTGCCTGCATGGCCTTGAGAATTCTGCACATGTGAGCCTCAGTTTCCTCCAGCCGCTTCTGAAGCATTCTCATCTCATCTACAGCTGAAAGCGACATTTCAAACATGATTAGTTAGTTAATACATTATGTCATTCGGGGAACTCCAAAGCAGTGGGAGCAGGACTCAATGTAGTTTCATTGTCAGACTCCTACGCAATGTTCTAAGTTAGGAGGGAGGGGAAGGTGGTGCCTAAAATGTACACATGTCCCTGACTTCTGCTGCTACTTCTCTCTATCCCCATCCTAGATCAGTCCATCTTCTGTCACTCCCAGTCTCTTACTCTCTTCTGCTTGTGTTTGGTCTGCTACATACTCCACCTTTAGCAAAAATACTGTTGTCCCCACTCCTGCATTCATATAGCAAGAGAGGTGTTTCAAAGATAAGTTCATTAATAACATTTTGAGTTCCACAGTCAGTTGCCTAGGCACCCTTTTTAAATGCTCTACAAATTTGTTTGTGACATCTGGCAGTTGGATGGCTTCACTCATCAAAAAGCTCATGGGAACAGCTCGTAGTTGGATGGCTACACTCATCAAAAAGCTCATGGGAACAGCTCGTAGTTGGATGGCTACACTCATCAAAAAGCTCATGGGAACAGCTCGTAGTTGGATGGCTACACTCATCAAAAAGCTCATGGGAACAGCTCGTAGTTGGATGGCTACACTCATCAAAAAGCTCATGGGAACAGCTCGTAGTTGGATAGCTACACTCATCAAAAAGCTCATGGGAACAGCTCGTAGTTGGATAGCTACACTCATCAAAAAGCTCATGGGAACAGCTCGCAGTTGGATAGCTACACTCATCAAAAAGCTCATGGGAACAGCTAGCTGTTGGATGGCTACACTCATCAAAAAGCTCACGGGAACAGCTAGCTGTTGGATGGCTACACTCATCAAAAAGCTCATGGGAGCAGCTAGCAGGGCTACCCCGAGTATGCATACAGTGGAAACACCCATGCTGCAAATAACATGATGCCCATCATCCTGTATCATTGTACATCACACAGGGTTCACAGACTAGTCCTCCATATTTCCCTGGTCTGTCCATTTCTTTCAATATCATGAATGGAGTGAAGAAACAAACTTTCAAAGGGTTAAGAATTGGATATGCAGGTCAGTTTAACATTCTGTTTTTCTACATAAATTGCCATTAAATATCTCATACACAGCCAATAGATTGTAACATAAATTGCCAACTGTATTACAGTGAGCAAAAGAATATTGCAAAACTGGCACCTAAACTTTCCCACAAAACCATCTATCCCTTCAGCATGGACAGTGAGAGCGATTTGCTTGCTTTCGCAATTTCTAATGAACACAATGTTGCTACGTTCGCCATGGATCGGAAGGTCGCGGGTTCTCTCCCTCGGAGCTGGACTTTTTTCAAAAATGACCTTGGCTCCCAGGTCGACCCAGCCTTGAGTGGGTACCGGATGAGGTCCCGGGAAGTAAAGGCTGTCGGCATGATGCTGACCACACCACCCATCTTGCGCCGAGCGGTCTATAAAAATACAGGTCTAGCCCTATACGCCTAAAGGCGTGGAAAAGGGTCCTTTACATTTCTTGTTTTAACAATGTTGCTGCTCTGCGTCTAGCAGGTAGTAATGAAACAGCAGATTTTATTGAGGCCATCCTTAGATGGTTGCATATTTTTTGTGTGAAAAGTAAATCTGTAGGTAAAAAGACACTTAACTCATTCTTAAACTCTTTATTGTTAAATAATGATGAACAAGCACATTATCTTGAACAGTTTACTGAATGACCAATGGAGTGGGACAGGCTGGCTGTAAAGGAAAAATGACAAGGGAAACACTCAGAGCTCGCTGCGAACAGTGACCGTAATGCTTTATTTAATCAAATATCTGCAGCCACAAAAGTCAGTTTTATACTTTTTGAAAAGTTGCAGACTGACAACTTAGAAGCTCGATTTGGTGAATATCGCCAGTTATCAAGAGCAAACTTTCTAGTTTCTGTTCAGCAAGTTTAAGATTACAGTTTATTAAGTAATTAAAAAAAATATTTGATTATTATCTTAAAAAGCTACATTTTTGTATTTTTTCAACACACCTAAATTTTAATATTCTAAAAAAATATATTTAAAAACATCTTTGAAGTAAATAAACTAGAACTGACCCTAAACATAGGTTTAAAGTTCAAGAATCAATCATCTGTTTCTCAATACCTGTTTGTTTTTGAAATTTTAGCTGTCTAAGTACATGTTTTTTTTCCCCATCAAGATGGCAGCCTGTTGCAATGGCAACCATGTTTTTTTTTACACTGGAAGTCTACAAATGTATCAACATACATCCCTACAAATGTATCAACATACATCCCTACAAATGTATCAACATACATCCCTACAAATGTAACAACATACATCCCTACAAATGACCATTATAAAATAATTGGTTTAACATTGTAAATAAAAAAAAAAAAGGCAATTTTTCTTATTTGTTTATTAGTGACAAATTAGTAAATGCTACTAGATGTTTAGCAATACCAAAATTTTTAAAATTATATTAGATGATAAGACAGTGAAAAGATAATGGCACCGTGAAGAAAATATGTCATTTTGAAGAAAATTATATACTTACAAACATTTTTGTCATCAATCCGAGTGAGCAAACGTTCCAGCTGCTTCCTCTGTTGTTCATCATTGTAAATATTGTGCACATCTCCTGCACCATCGTATATGGATGGCAACCCCATCCTGTCCAATGAGTAATCTGTCTCCATTCTGTTTTCATAAGGTGACCCATCATCCCAGGAGTCATTCTTTGGCTTGTTAAATACCTAGCACAGAGACACAGGAGAATATTTACCATCTAGAATTATCTCAAACTTATTTTTACATGGCACCCCATTTAGTTGAAGGATCAATTCCCGTCCCCACCCAATAAAAACAAAATGTCATTAACAAGAGGAGGACAAACAGAAAAATCCCAAGCGCTGTTCACAAAAACCTGGAGAAAAACATCCCCATAAATCAAAGTGTCAAGAAACAAAATAAACAATCACCAACAACTGGTAATTTAGTGTCCCAATATCAATGGGTGATTGACACTGTTTTGCCTTGATATCTGCCATTTTTGGACTGAAGTTGGATAAGGCACAATGGAAATCACTCTCCATATCAAGCTGCCAATGCTGTTTTGTTTTTATGATTTTTAAAACTCAAAATCAGGATTCAGAAAGGTATGTGGAGGAAAATGGCAAAAATACATGTATAGATAACATGGCCACATGAGAGTACATTGCGGCACACATGAACACACACACAAAACCAGCCAAAATTGCAAAAATCGTCTTGAACCCCTGATTGTTCATTTTAAAGATCATTTTCATCGCACATCGGACATGATGATAAGTGCTCTAATCTTCTCCTGAGTATGTCTCCAAGTGTTTTTAAGCTAACAATTCCCATTCTGTTCTGGTTGATGTAACGACAAGTGGCTCCCGCATGGTTTTCCTGTCTAGCAGCTCCAACTGGTGCACCCAGGGTATGCATTCAAATCAGTGACAAATCATTTTCCACAAAACTGAAAGACCCACAGTATTTAGTTTCTCATTCGACCTTTCTGACATCGCTCCTGTCCTGATGGTCGCACTGCCAGCCAGACCATCTGCTCTTTCACTGCCATTCACATCAGCATGCCTTTAGCCCTTAAAATCCCCTTTTTCTCAACTGCGTCTTCTTGAATAGACTGTGGCAGTATATCTATGAGGGGAAGTCAATAAGTAAGTCACAAATGATAGTTTTAAAAACAATAGAAAATTAAAAAAATAAAGATGATAACTTAAAACCACTGATTTTTATAAACACTGTCCCTTTATTTTTCAACATAATTTCCACCAACATTGATGCAACGGTCCTTCCCTTTATCAGTTCTCCCAAACTTGCTGCACAGAACTGTGTGCTCTGTTTTCTAAACCACATTTTCACTTCACACTCAACTTCTGCATCATGCGTGAAATGTCTTCCACCAGGGTAGGTTTTCAGTGGACCAAAAAGGTGGAAATCGCTAGGGGCTAAGTCGCGGCTATAAGGTGAATGTTCCAGAAGTTCCCACCCTAGATGGTTAATTTTCTCCTGAGTTAAACCGAGAACACTGTCAGCATAACCTTTCCTGCTGAGGGCATAAGCTTGAATATTTAAACACAAGGTGAAGAAGGATGGTCCCCTGCATTAAAGCATTTTTTTTAATTCAGCCTTGTAGTGAAACATCCATTAGTCCCTAGTAATAATCCTGTTCAACATGTCTTCTTCTTCATTCTTATAATGTCCTTTGCAGGCAGCCCTTTTGCCCCACAAAATATGCACAACAGCAGGCTATTCTTTTAAGGTCACTCCATAAGTACACTCACCATTTTGTTTCTGTGTTTTGAATGTGCATGCAACACCTAGTGCCAATTAACGAACGGAAACACATTTGATGTTGCTGCCACCTGATGACACCTTTAGAAAACACCAACTACATTTTCCTGCTATCCCATAACAACAATATGTGACTTTTACTGATTGACTTCCCCTCAAATGTTAACAATATAAGGACTTCTAGTTAACTTCCAAGACCAGTGATCACATGGGGGAAAATAGAGACTAAAATCCTCTAACACAAAAGTCTAAATGTGGCTGAGTTTTAACTGTAAGTTGATTGTTTTCAAACAGTTCATTAGGAACCGGTAAAGGATCACAAATTGTTGGATTCAGTTTCTCGTTTACATAACTGTTTTCCATGAAAGTTCTGATGGAATCATAGGATAGAATAATATTGCCATGTTTTCATTTTTTTTTTAAACTCATGAAAAAAGACTTAAACCTCAGACTTCAACTTGTGTATTCAAGCCAGCATATTATGACCCTCTGAAGACCAATGGACCTCAGTATGAAAAAGCAGAACATTTTGTGTGGTTGAAGGTGGCCACAGAGAGCAAGAAAGACTCTTGTGTTCAGTGTGCTTGATTTCATAAAATGTATCCCTTTTTTTTAATACCATATCTCAAAGCATCGTTCAGATCCTGTAGCAATGTTTAACACAATGAGTTCCAATAATGTTTGGAATTTTTCTTTAACCAGTTGAAGGAACCCAGAATGAGAACCTATAACAATTGGAGCAGTAGCCCACTACTTATTCCTATGACAATGGATTTTTGTGGAGAAAATTGTGAATGGTTAAAAATACATCATGTCATACTTTTTTTAAGCTGTTTGTAAACATTTGGAAAAAACCTTCTTTTATATTATGTTTATCTAACTGTCTTTATCTACAAATTGATACAATACTGTTAATTGGCAACAGTCAGCCAAATCAGCAGTTTCATCATATTGAGAGAGGGATGGGGAAAAAAAGGTTCGGGAATGGGGGGGGGGGGAAGGGTCATTTTCACTTTCTCAAAGAGATTTTTTATATTTCTTAAAGGTCATCTTTTCTAGGCTTTACAGTATTTAACCACTTCCATCAACTAAAACAGTATCTGCAGCCAACAGAATGCAAGGTTTAACAAGTGTTTCTCCAGCTATATGGACTTGTCTTTGGCTATTAATTAAGGCCAGTTTATATGATGCTTCAATTGCCTTTTTATTCTGTTGAGCGAAAGTGCCTTTTGAAAACAATTTGTTGAAACCAATTTCATTTTAGGAAGTTTGGTATATTAGCAAAATTATCTGCAAGTTAATTTATTAACTTAGGATGTACTGTACATAGTAATATAATTACCAGATAAACAGAGTATATAGGGGAGTTGTATGATGATAATAGACCAGATGTAGAACTGCAGACCTACAATGATGGTCCACCAATAATAACTGCAGAAGTTGAGGATGCAATACATCATAAAGAAAGGAAAAGCACCCGGGCCAGACAAGATCTCACTGGAAGAAATTGAAGCACTGGGAGATTTTGAAATTGAAATAATAACTAAACTTTTAAATGATATTTATAATAGTGGGTATATTCCAAATGACCTTTTAAAATCCATATTTATAGCTCTGCCAAAGAAACCAGGCACTTTAAAATGTGAAGACCATCACACAATAAGTCTTATGAGTCACATGACTAAGATTTTACTGAGAATAATTATGAGAAGAAAAAGAAACAAAATTAAATGCATCTCTCATATACAGCCAACAGATTTTTACATAAATTGCCAATAAATATCTCATATACAGCCAACAGGTTTTAACATAAATTGCCATAAAAGCCACCAAGAGGTTTTGAAAGAGGCGGAAGCCCGAAGACAACTTATCACAGACATAAGAAGGAGACAGTGACCATTTTTCGGCCTTGTTATGAGAAGAGGGAAAATAGAACATGTTGTGACCACTGGAAAGATCTGTGGAAGGAGTGATAGAGGAAGACAACGAGAGAAGATGCTTGACAGTCTTGTTGCATGGCATGGAGGTGTGTCGGCACACGAACTGATACATGCTGCAGGAGATCGCAGATTATGGAGAGGCATGATCGCCCACGACAGTCGGCAAGGCACCTGATGATGATGTTGAGGATGTACTGTACAAAAAGTATAAATCATGGTCACTTGGGATTATCACAGACTACTATCTTGGCAGACAAGCACACTAATCTCAATGGGGATTGATCACAGACAACCATCTTGGCAGATAAACAAACTAATGTCTATGAGGACTGAACACAGACAACCGTACTGGCAGATAAGCACACTAATCTCTATTGGGACTGATCACAGACAACTGTGATAATGTATTGTGCTGATATTATCAATGCCCTCAGAGAAATGGAAAGGATAGAGGACTTTGGTGGCAGTGAATCCACATCACTCGCCAGAATGGTAGACTTGGGAATTAAGATCGGCATAGCAAAAAACGAGACGCACACCAGACACGCCAGAAGACTTGTTCATCAACATAGAACTGGTACTATTAGCCATTGGACGTTGGGGTTCATACTGAGAGGAGGATCTGAGCACCTATGGACATGTCCGGAGTGCAATGATGATAACCCAACTAACTAACTAACTAACTAACTAACTAACTAACTAACTAACAGACAACTGTTTTGGCAGACAAGCACACTAATCTCTATGAGGCAGACAAACACACTAATCTCTATGGGGCAGACAAACACACTAATCTCTATGAGGCAGACAAACACACTAATCTCTATGAGGCAGACAAACACACTAATCTCTATGGGGCAGACAAACACACTAATCTCTATGAGGCAGACAAACACACTAATCTCTATGAGGCAGACAAACACACTAATCTCTATGGGGCAGACAAACACACTAATCTCTATGAGGCAGACAAACACACTAATCTCTATGGGGCAGACAAACACACTAATCTCTATGAGGCAGACAAACACACTAATCTCTATGAGGCAGACAAAAACACACTAATCTCTATGGGGCAGACAAACACACTAATCTCTATGAGGCAGACAAACACACTAATCTCTATGGGGCAGACAAACACACTAATCTCTATGAGGCAGACAAACACACTAATCTCTATGGGGCAGACAAACACACTAATCTCTATGAGGCAGACAAACACACTAATCTCTATGAGGCAGACAAACACACTAATCTCTATGGGGCAGACAAACACACTAATCTCTATGAGGCAGACAAACACACTAATCTCTATGGGGCAGACAAACACACTAATCTCTATGCCACCAAGGCTCCTATAACATTTTATGATCGTTAAAAATAATAAAAAGACAGACAGTCACAAACATCGTAGAGAAATTCATCAGTTACTGTAATATTATGAAAAGGAAAACACTGGAACATACTGTCACATGAAAGTGATAAAGACAGCAAGAAACAATTTTTAACAGCATTATTTCATAACATGGAAAGGTGTCAGCATATGATTTGCTTCATGCTGTGGAAATTACAAGAAATGGAGAAATGAATTACGATCACCCATGCCAACTAGGCAATCACTTGGTGATACAAAAACAAACAAACAAACAAGACACACACAGGCACACACACATACAAAGTCTACCTTAAATAATGTGTAGACCAGATAGAGTACAATTCCTATAGCATACATCGGCAGCACCACACCCATCATCCCTCTACCTGAACCTGGCTGTGCCTGCTGTCTCTGCATCTCTGCTGCAGCTCTCATTCCTGGGTGAGGTGGACTTTGCTGTGTGAGCATAAGGTGGTCAACCATGTGATACCTTCAACAACACAGTGAACCTACCCAGTATCTAACATGTATGTATTGCTGGTACATAAATGTATGCATGCAAAGGAAGGTTTTCATGTGCGTTAAGGGCAGCCAATTTTCATTTTCAGAATTGCTGATACTTGTACTGACTACTCTTTGAAGAGAAAAAAAGCATCATGACAGGGACATCCTTAGAATAGGAGGACACACTGGGTAATACTTGGTGTAGCTGAAATGGATCACCTAATTATAACTTCAAAGGATATGGAAGCTGGGATCTGAGACTGTTCTGCTGGACTGCCAGCAAGGATGTGGCTCTTCAGATCATTGAGCTTTTAAACATTCAAGTAGCTGCCTGAGGGAAAAACAGTCCATATGGTCTTGCCCAAGCTAATGTGGCGACTGTGGTGGCACAGTGGCAAAGATGTTTGTTTGCTGGCCTGAAGGTGTACATCAGAAATCTGCATTGGGACGGACTTTTATTGAAATGCTTTTCGGCTGCCAGGTCCACACAGCTTAAACTGGGAACCAGACAATGTAATGGAAGTGAAAGTACATCCTCTACCAAGTGCCGGAAGGTCTCTACAAATGTAAGTCTAGCCCCATATGCCTGTTGCACCAATGACAGCTAAAGGGTATTTTACAGTTTACAAGCCACTTAAGGATACATATGGAAGATTCTACCCAGAAGTAGCTAGCAAGGTTAAATGGTTTTGAATATTCTGGAATACACTGAGTTCTAATACTTAAGTCTAATGTATTCAACTTGATCTGAGCCCTGAACAATGCTTGCATCACTAATGGTGAATGTGATTTATAAAAAGCATTCTACTGACCGAGCCCTGCAGTAGAATTGCCTTGAGACTGTGCTCTAGAGCTCTGCTTTACTTCTCACAAGTTCAGAAACCAGGGATGAGTTAAGAATACACATCACAGAAGTCAGAACATTTCCATTAGTGCTCCATCCACATCTTCAGCAGCCAGTACAGAGTTCCAATTCCGATGGCACCAATAACAGTCTGATTGCCTGTCTGTCTTGTTTTTTCAGAAAACAGAGCAATGTAAAAAAAACAACTAGTGGTGGAGCTTCTGCAAAGACACATAAAACCTTGGGATGTTGGTCAGACTGGGAGCCCTGATTGTGAACAGGCCGGACCCTCAAAGAGTGCACCAAGGTCATGTCCAGTTTGAGATCTGGTCTGTATGAACTCTGTGACCAGCTAGCTCTACATGTCTCAATGCTACAGATGCCTGCATCCTCAGGATATTAGGCTGAAGTCTATTAACAATTAAGTATCTAAAAGATAAAAGAAACATCAAGTTAGGCTTCATCCTAGCAAGTCTGCATTCAATGTGCTAATATACCTCAAAGGAGGAAAACCCATGATGACCTTTAGGCATCAATTTACGGTAAGACTTAACTGAAAGATATACAAATATCTACTTGCATCTTCGTGCAAAAAAAATTAGCCGCAGAATATTTAATATAATCCTAGTTTTGTAGTAACCCTTTTAAGTTTGCCCTTAAAAACACAAGCTGTTTTAATAAATCAACCAACAGTTGGTTTATCAATGAAAATAACTTAAAAGAATCTATTCGTTCATGCTAACACAGTTACCATATATGGGAATGACCATTAAGTTACATAACTATTTTTTCAGGGAAAATTTGTAATATGTAACAAGGAAACATTAATATAATGCAATCAGTGACCATTCACTAATGTACCGCAGGCAATCAATGCAACCAGTGTTTGTGACCACCAACAAGAGGTCAGATTTCAGAATAGCATTTATGGAACCAGATGCAAGATAAACTAAATATACTAGATGCAAGATCACAGCAGCTTGGTCTGAAAATCCATAAAGGAAAGACAAAGATAATGAGAATAAATCAGGCAAATAGTAATGTGGTTTCTCTTAATGGTACCCCACTCCAAGACGTGGAGTCATACACCTATTTGGGCAGTAATGTAGATAAAGATGGAGGAACAGATAGAGATATCAAAATAAGAATACAAAAGGCAAGAGGAGCTTTCATAGCACTAGGGAATTTGTGGAGGTCAGAAGAAATTAAAAGAAATATTAAACTAAAAATTCTCAATTCTAATGTCAAATCAGTACTTTTGTATGTGGGGGGGGGGGGGGGGGGGGGGGGGGGGGGGGGGGGGGGGGGGGAGAAACATGAAGAACAACTAAGGCAATTACTAATAAATTACATTCATTCATTACCTGGTGCCTGCGCAGAATAGAGGAAATTAAATGGTATGATAGAATAACTAATGTAGAGCTTTGGGAGAGAACTAAACAGGCTCCAGTGGACCAAGAGCTGAGGAAAAGACGATGGTGTTGTATAGGACACACACTGAGAAAACAGGAGAACAGCATAACTAGAATGTCTTTTCATTGGAACCCACAGGGGCATAGAAAAAAGGAAGGCAAAAAAAAAAAAACACATGAGGGAAGAGAGCTGGAGAAGAAGTTAAAAAGATGGGGAGGACATGGGGAGAGCTGCATGTAATAGCGAAGGATAGAATGAGTTGGTGTGAGTTGGTCGAGGGCCTATGCTCCATTGGGGGATAGAAAGGCAGAAGAAGAACAAGAGGTAGGATTTTAGAGTATCATTCACCACACTGACAAATTAGGGATAGAATACGGCAGAAAGAAACAGGAAAAAAGACCAAAACAAGCCACTGTAGACTCTTTCCAATCTTACTCTCAAATGTTTCCGTGTATCTTCTGCAGCAGCTGCGTGTTTTGCAGCTCCAGGAGGCATGGCTTTTAAGTGTGGAGGATACATGTTGTCTGTTGGAGAAACAATATCAATGACAGAACATTACTTACTGAGATACACCTCTCTCTTTCTCTTTCATTAACAGGCAACTCCCCATGTATTTACTGATTACCCTTTAATGGTGGCTGAATCCGTCACATTTGGACATATCGCCACTTAAGTGGCTCTCAAAACAGACACTCTAACATTGTTTAGTTTGCTAGGAAAATGAATTTGTATGACCATGTTTTGGAAAACTAGGATTAGTGAAACAAAGTATTTTCATGTTTGAAGCACAGCCAGGCAAGTGGATTACTTTCCGATTTGTTTTCAATTAAATCTGTGTGTTACCATTTTTTAAAGTCAGTTTCCTAAACTAGCAACTTTAAAGTCTTCAACATCCACTGTAGTGAGAGTTCAAAAAATGACCAAAACACAGGCATTAGATCTTATTCAGCAGTTGCTAGATGAAGAAAAAAGATAATTCTAGTGAAGATTTAGATTCTGACAACATGGGTTGGGATGAAGTAGAATAAAATGTTTAAATCGGATCGTCCGTATTTCAATCAGCTTTGTCTAGTTCTGAAACTGTACACGCCACACAAAAAGGGTCATAAAAAGATTAATTTCTCAACCAAAAACTAGCTGATGCCTAACTGAATAATGAAGGCAAGTGAATTTTTTGAAAATGGATAGCAGTGTTGCTGATCAAGCAAATATGTAAGGTAAACACAACGTTTCTTGTGTCAAAAATATGCATGTATGTCTGACATCCTTGAATGATAATATTTTATTGTTGCAATACTGATCCTTAAATAGTTTAGATGTATTCTGTATTAATTTCTCTTTAATTGGATATATTATATGTTTCTATACAGCCAATACTTTTTCTTCAGGAAGGTTTTAGCTTTGTCATGTTGCTGCAACACAATTCAGCTGAACATTAATTCTCTCTAAACAAGATTAAAAAAAAAAAATGCCACCCTAAAGTACACAAGTTGTGCTATATATAGAACTGGTATAAAGAGTAACACTTAAAGAGAAAGAGACACTTCCGGTGTAAACAGCCACAATGGCGGCACGCTTTTTCGTCCGTTGAGGCGAATGGCGCAAATTAACTATTTTCGCTCACGTATAATGTGAAAGTTTCATCGGAATGGGGTCTGAACCGTGCAATGGAGTACATGCACGTGAGTTCAGACTTCCCTCAGGGTGTATTCAACGTCCGATGGCGACTATCTACCAATTCAAAACAACCCGTAGACGGACAAGGAGAACGCGAACAGGCAAGCACGGTGGCGCCTGCAGGAAGCGACTGAAATGTGAGAGACTCAGCTTAAAGTATGTTCGCGTTCTCTACTGGAACTGCGCCTCGTTCAGTCAACGCCGACCCATTTTCGAGAAGCTCCTCTACAGCAACGACATTGTTGTCCTACAGGAAACACACCTCGGTGACGAGATGGTTTTAAAATTGCGGGCTTCCAATCCTTCTACAATAGACGGCACCTCGGACAGCTCATTCTTGTTCGTGACCACATACTGGTGTCTGAGGTGGACATGTCTGAGTGGGATAATGACGACCTACAAGTACACGCAGTCAGAGTGATGGGCCCCGGCCCAGTTTGTGATTGTCAATGTGTACGCCTGCAATGGAAAGGTGGATACAGCGAAATGGCAGAGTTTGCTCCAGACTGAGGAAAAGAAAGTCCTTTACTGCGGAGATTTCAACGCCAGAGGAAACCAGTGGGGCAATGTAATTACCAATAAACAGGGGAAGACCTGGAGGATGCTCTAGTGTCTGCCGATCTAGTATGCTTGAACGACGGAAAGGTTACCCGAATAGCAACCCGACAAGGGGATTCTGACAGCGTAATTGACCTGGCCCTAGTGTCTCCCTCCATCACCAGGATGCAGGTGGAGCACACTGGGATACCATGACAGTGATCACTTTCCGTGCGTCGTCCTGGTGGAGAAGAGCAACAACAAAGGTCATGTAATCAATGTGCCTGCTTTTATATATGACCGTACAGGGCAAGATGCCATTAGCAAAATCAGACGACGTAATACAAGAGCAGATCGCAGACGGCGGGAGAGATGGGCCCAGCCACCATGGTGGAATGAAGTAGTCAACATAGCGTGGCTAGAAAAAAGGAACGCTGTCAAGGCATGGCAAAAGGCAAGGAAAATTGATCCGTCACTTTCTGAACGCCTGATCAGTCTGAAAGATGAGGTCAACAAGCGGACAGTGGCTTTCAAGTTAATTGCGAAAGAAGCCAAGACAGCGAAATGGAACGAATTCTGCAAGAGCGTTTGCTCCGAGGGATCTCTTGTGACATTCTGGCGCCTTCAACGGAGCATGCACGGCGCCGCACGACCAAGGGGTATCCCTGATTTTCAGGGTACAGACCTGATATGGCAGAGAACTGATGCTGATAAAGGAAAAACCCTCCTTGCGCGCTACTTGGAGCAAACTGACCAAAAAGACGAAGCTGCAAGAATAGGGGTTAAGATGAAACTGTCGATGCTGTGCGAGAACACTGAGCTAGGCACTGATTTCACAATCACTGCAGACACCTTAAGAACTTGCCTCAAGAAATCGTGCAGCACTGCTCCAGGTCCTGACGGCATCCGATACAATGACATGCTGGTGATGTCGAATGCTGATTTGAAAAGCGTGGCAAAGGAATTCAATATCAGCATCCAGAGTGACCAGATACAAGAGGAATGGCTCCATAGTTATTTGTTTCCACTACCAAAGCCTAATAAAGACCACTCAAAGATCTGCGGCTACAGAATCATCTCGATGCAGAATACTGTTGGCAAACTTTTGGAAAAAATTGTCGCACAAAGATTGACCACCTACTTGGAACTACATGATAAGTTCCCATCAACACTTGGAGGGTACAGATTGAAGAAAGAGACATGGTCCAATGCTGCTGTTTTCGCCTACGATGTGTACGAGGGATTTCAGATTAAAGAAGAGACATGTGCGGCAGTGTTGGACTTAGAAGATGCCTACAATAAAGTACCATATGATTATTTAATGCAATTACTGCTTAAACTAGAAGTCAATCCTATTCTGATCCGCTGGATTGCTGCGGTCCTGTTCCAGAGAAAGATTGTACTAAGATGTGGTAGCTGGTCCTCAGAACCGCAAACGATATGTCCAGGCTTGCCACAGGGATCACCGCTATCACCAGTCTTATTCAATGTTTATACGGTGATGATCACTGAGCAGCAGTTGAATGGAAAGGGAAGGACTTTGTCATTTGCTGATGACATTTTGATTTATCGACGAGGGCGTGATAGACAGGAGATCGCCAGCACAATGCACAAAGAACTCGATCGAATTGCCGCCTGGTGTGATGGTTCCAATGCCTATGTCAATCCCTCGAAGGCATCAGTGTCATGGTTCTCTTTGAACAATCACATTGTCAAGTCGGACTTACCAGAAGTGAAAATGCGTGATAATGTATTGATCAGAACCAACGTTATGACGTTTCTCGGGGTGAGGTTCGATCGCAGCTTGTCATTCAGGGAACACGTTGACCATGCGATAACAAAAGCACGCAGAGGTCTATCTGCAATGAGGATTATGGCTGCTTCCAATATCGAGCAAAGACTGCTGGTGCTTCTATTCTATGGTCTGGTCCTTTCCCCCATTGAATACGCTCTGGCCATCCTCACTGTCAGTGCTACCCAGATTGAACGACTCGAGAAGGTGCAAAATGAAGCCATGCGTACTATTTTGGGATGTACAAGAGACACATCTTGTGGAGCAATGAGGTATCTACTTGACTTTCCAACAATGAACCAAAGGATCAGGATGTGGAGGGCTCGGGCATACCTCAAAATATGTGCTGATAAGAAACACCCACTGCATCAAGCGCTTTTTAGTGAAAAGGGCGACAGACTGAAGAGGGGAAAATCGTGGCTAGGTCGGGCAGAAGATGTTATTAGGCAAATATGCAGCCTAACCGACATCATACCTGGTGCAGAATGGATACCTGTGCCTCAGGCGTTTATTTGTACATTTTCCTGTATTGTCACACTCAACAGGCGATGTAGAGAAGATAATCCTGTTGCTGTTAATGCAGAGGTCAACGCTCTCATCTGTGAAAATTCAGACGAAGCAGATGCACTAATCTATACAGACGGTCAGTTATACGCCAAAGAAGAAGCGCATGGGCATTTACAGCACGCTCAGCGGGCAGAACAGTCAAAGAAGCCAACGGCGCCTTCTCCATGACAACCAGCAGCATGACAATGGAGGTGATGGCAGTGACGCAAGCGTTTGCCTGGCTTGAAACACAAAAATACACCCGCATATGTATACTCAGTGATTCAATGAGTATGATCCGGAGGGTTCAGGCAGGTTCAGTGCGAAGACAATGGCTTGAATCAATTCAGAAGTCCACTGTGCGAGGAGTCACCTTTATTTTTGTTCCGGGACACGCAGGCGTCGATGGAAATGAAAGAGCTGACAGGTTGGCTGGATCCGCTATCACTACCGACGGTCAGCCTATGGATCATGCTGATATTATCAATGCCCTCAGAGAAATGGGAAGGATAGAGGACTTTGGTGGCAGTGAATCCACATCACTCGCCAGAATGGCAGACTTGGGAATTAAGATCGGCACAGCAAAAAACGAGACGCACACCGGACACGTCAGAAGACTTGTTAATCAACATAGAACTGGTACTATTAGCCATCGGACGTTAGGATTCATACTGAGGGGAGGATCTGAGCACCTATGGACATGTCCGGAGTGCAATGATGATAACCCAACTAACTAACTAACTAACTAACTAACTTAAAGAGAAAGAGCTGGTATAAAGAGTAACACTTTGAGAGAAAGAGCTGGTATAAAGAGTAAGACATGGAGAGATAGAGCTGGTATAAAGAGTAAGACATGGAGAGAAAGAGCTGGTATGAAGAGTAAGACATGGAGAGAAAGAGCTGGTATAAAGAGTAAGACTTGGAGAGAAAGAGCTGGTATGAAGAGTAAGACTTGGAGAGAAAGAGCTGATA